GCATACGATTCCAGTCACCCCTTCTACAGCAAGGATATTGTTGAAGCAGAAGCAGAAAAGATGGAGAAGCTGTTCAAAGGGAAAAGAGGAAGGGAGGAAGCTCTTTTAGCAGGAAGTCTTTTCTATCCATGGTTTTCCATAATAACCTCTCTTACCCCAATATAAATCAGGAACCATGTATGCCTCAGTAGCCATAGTGTATTTATTGCCAGTCCACTGTTCTCTCATATTTGGGGTACCAAATCAAATTAGAACCTGATGTTTGGAATAACAAAGACTTTCTGCTTAACACGGTGGCTCAGTGGTTAGCACTGCTGCCTCACAGCGCCAGGGACCCTGGTTTGATTCCACCCTCGGGCGACTATCTGTGTGGAGTTTGCACATTCTCCACGTGTCTGCGTGGGTTTCCTCCGGGTGCTCCGGTTTCCTCCCACAGTCCAAAGATGTGCAGGCTAGGTGGATTGGCTATGGTAAATGGCCCATAGTGTCCAGGGGTATGTAGGTTAGGTGGGTTATAGGGGGATGGGTCTGGATGAGATGCTCCGAGGGTCGGTGTGGACTTGTTGGGCTGAAGGGCCTGTTTCCACACTGTAGAGATTCTATGAAACCTCGCTCAAGATCATTCTAAAATCCAAGCATGAGACCATAAGACATCATGGACCAGTGCTAAAGCAATTGTTCCTGTGCCTGAATTCCGCAGAAGAAGACTATATTTCTAGAGCATCTGTATCATCTACAACCTGGCAATCATAAAGGCACAGCCCTTGTCAAATGGAATATAGCAAACAACTGAGGAACCAGAAGAGGAGGAACAAGAGGAAAGCAGCACATTCTCCTTCTAGCTTATCACCAGAATGCTTCACTGACACAACCCTGAATCCCCACTCTACAATAATCAGAAATTCTACTATTTCAGATTATAAGACACAACTTTTAGATACAATAAAAGCCAAACAATACTAACTGAGCTTCATTCAAACTATTCAATAATCCATATCAGAATCAACTTAATTACCTTAAGTATTCTTTCAATGTCCATTTTTCATGTGCCTTTGCCTCGCCTATTGCTCCTAAGTAGCAGCATGTTTGATGGAAGCCTGCTCACTTTCAATGGGGAGACGTAGTTGGCGCAGTAGGACATCCTGAGCAGATGTAAGTCGAGAAACTATTTCTTGAAATAAACTCAATGCATGGTTCGTGCCTTTTATGCTTAGGTTAGGGGTATGCTAAATGGATAAACCTAATCTGTCATCTTATTGAAATACTATTGCAATCTTTCCTCACTGTCACACAGTTTGGTTTTGGATTCTGCAAGGGCCACTCAGGTCTTGTCCTCATTACGGCTTCAGTTCAAATATGAACAAAGAGCTGTAATTCCAGAGGTGAGGTGATAGTGACTGACCTTGACATCAAGGCTGCATTTTACCAAGGTTAGAGTCAAGGAGCTCTAGCTGAAGTCACAGGACATTTCTCCACTTGTTGGATTCATACCTGGCTCAAAGGAAGATTGCTGTGGGTGTTGGGAGTCAGGCATCTCAGCTCCAGGACACCTCTTCAGAAGTTCCTCAGGGTTGTGTCCTAGGCCCAAACATCTTCAACTACTTCATCAATGACAACATTCCAGGTTTGGGCTGACAAGTGACAAGTAATATTTTCATCACACATTGCCAGGCAATGATCATATTTAAAAAGGTATGATCAACAACAGTTAGGTATCCATCTAACCATTGACTGTTGACATTCATTGGCATCACCGTCACTGACCGCCCCCCCCCCCCCCCCCCAACCCACTAGTAACATCCTGGGGATTATATTGACCAGAAATTGAACTGGACCAGCTATATAAACACAGTGGCTACAACAGCAGGTCAGAGGCTAGGAATGAGGCTAGAAATCCTGCAGTAATTCACCTCCTGATTTCCAAAGCCTGTGTACCATCTACAAAGCACCAATCTGGACTAATATAATTCTCCCCACTTGCCCGGATGAGTGCAGCTCCATCAACACTTGAAAAGTTTGACACCATCCGGGACGAAGCTTGCACCACATCTACAAACATCCACTCCGTCCACTACCATCAATAGCAGCAGTCTGTACCATATACAAGATACACTATAGAAATTCACAAACGTTCCTTAGACAGTGTCTTCCAAACACATGATCAGTTCCACCTCGAAGGACAAGAGCAGCAGACACAAGTGAATGCCTGCAAGTTCACCTCCAAGCCACTTACCATCTGTCTTGGAATATATCACAGTTCCTTCAATGTTGCTGGGTCAATATTCTGAAGTTCCCTCTCAAACAGTATTGTGGGACCATGGCCTAGTAGTATTATCACTGGACTGTTAATCCAGAGACACAGGTAATGTTCTGGGGACCTGGGTTCAAATCCCACCACAGCAGATGTGGAATTTGAATTCAACAAAAATATCTGCAATTAAGAGTCAAATGGTGACCATGAATCCATTGTCGATTGTTGTAAAAACCCATCTGGTTCACTAATGACCTTTAGGGAAGGAAACTGCCATCCTTACCTGGTCTGGCCTACATGTGACTCCAGACCCACAGCAATGTGGTTGACTCTTAACTGCCCTCTGCACAATTAGGGATGGGCAATAAATGCTGGCCTAGCCAGCAACATGCTCATTCCCCTGAATGAATAAAGGATATATAGCAAATGGACTGCAGGGAACAGAATGGTAGTTTGTTATCATCTTCTCAATGACAGTGAGGGATGGGCAATAAAAATTCTGGCTCAGCTAGTGATGCTCACATTCCAAGAATTAATTTTTAAACATGAGTTGAAACAGCTTTTCTGCTCTGAATAACTTAGTCCTAAATAGGCGTTTATCCTATCACTAAGAAAATAAGGTCAATAGGTAGTGAATTACAGAAATATAAGCCACAGCTCTGCATTCTGACTTAGAATTATCTGGTCCAATACAACATTTGATGTCTCAATGTACAAAAGATGTAATAATGTGCAGCTCCAGAATGAAAGACCTTTTCTCCGGTTTGTTCAGTATATAGTCTCAGTCTCGATATGTCTGCAAGGGATGCTGAGCAAGGGGAGGCATTTATCCACAAATGAGGTGAAAATGTGATGTCAGTTGTCACAGAATCATTTTGGTAATGATTAAATGTGGTCAGAGTTGACAGACTGAGAACATTCTCAGTTTTCAAGTCAGTTATGATGTTTGACAAGAGCTGTTAAATAAAATGAACAGGTGTAGCCTCTCTGCTCCTATGATGCTGCTTGGCCTGCTGTGTTCATCCAGCCCTGCACCTTGTTGTCATAGTTACTTGTAATGACCACTTGGTGGAGCAATGTAGTCTCCTGCCTTGTTGCAACTGTGGATATGTTAACAGGTAATGATTGTTCTGTAGTTTCTCACAGAAATAAATCAAAAAGAAAATAATTCAACACCCCAATTTTTAACACACTAACTGGAAATGACAGATACTACATATATAAAATAATCAAAACTGAAAGAAAAATAAAAGTAACTACTGAGCAAACTCGGCTCATCGTTATTTCATAAGCAAGGCATATACGAACGTTAATTTTCATAGGAACTGTTGTGATTATAGCAGAGGCATTCCCCACACCATAACGTGACTCCTTTAATCTATGCTCTCTGTTTTCTAACTACTCTCAATCTAACAACTTGGTTAGATTGGCAACACTATCAAGATAAACCTGGGTTAAAGTTCCACTGGCGTCAGCACAATCACTTAAGGACATATGAATAAGAAATGCAATTCAGCAACTTCAGTCTGATCCATGTTTCAATTACAATAAAGCTAATCAAACATCAATTCTATTTACCTATCTTAGTTTCAAGATAATGCAACTTATTCTCATCCAAGCTGACCACATCACAGTATTGAAGGGATACTACATTGCTTGAATACCATCTTTTGAATTGAGATGATACACTAATGTCTGGTGGACAGTTACAAAGAATACAATAGAGTTGTTCAAAGGAAAGCAGGCAGTCTTGCCAACGACCTGGCCAATGTTCATCCATTACACATGAGCGAAAAAAGATTAGGTGAACATTTAACAACTCATGTTACACTTTTAACATAAAGAAATTCAATATGCTTCAACAGACCTGTTAAAACTGGACATTGAACGAGCAAGGGAATGATTACAAAGTGACTGAATGCTTGTCCAGGTAGACCATGAGTTGAATGCATGTTCTTTCTTTCAGCTACTTTCCAACCCTATATTTGACATGATGTAATTTGCTTTTTGGCTTTTTGTTACTTTACATTTACTCCTAGTATATTAAAGGCTAACATAATTGCTTATCTGTGTACACACTGCCCCACCGGAGTATATTCTACTTCAACACAAACAGCTGAGAAGTTACGAATATACCGTACATTCTTCTTTTAATGAGAGGCAACTCTAATAAAAACGTAACAACATCAGATTAAGTTTTATTGATTGTGCTAAGTTATCATATGAAGATTTTAAATCTCCTAAATTGCACATTCGAGACACAAATGTGTCTGTCGTCCTACTTTCTTGCGTCACTCAGAACGGGAAAGGGGGGTCGCGGAAGTTTCTGGAATAAATCATTCAACCCAGCGGTGAATGAGAAAAACAGCAAGATCCCCTGAGAAATGGATCCTCTTCAACACACAACACACACTTATTCTGAGAAAAGGAAAGCACCAGAAAACCTTGTGTGTGTGTGCCCTTCGTGAAGAGGCGACATTGAAGTCGGTTAGCTGTCAGAAGGCAGTTTTTGGTAACTTATTGTCCTGAACACTAACCGTGTAAAGATTTTCTCGCTCAAACAACATTTGGCATTGACAGTGCATGGACCAAAAACCTACAGGTGCCATCGAAGTACAATTTTAATGTGACGTTTCCCCCTCTCCCACCAGAGGATGACCGTGAACTCGTGACCCAGGGTGGGCGGGGCTGGTACCATGCCCCGCCCCGTTCTGTGCAGGTCTGGCCTCGACTGGATGACGCGCGCGGGCGGTGAGTATAAAGGAGCCCCCCCGGCGCGGAGAAGATCAGTCGCTCGCTGCAAACTGAGATTTTCGCCTGTTTAGTGCGCTTTCTTCTTCCAAAGTCTGTGGTGGACCCCAGTTTTAAAAACCAGCCCCTTCATGAGTAACCTGTACAACCTGGATTCACGCTGCGTCTCGCCATGTTTCCCTCTGTTTTCCCTAGAGCCGGCTAATTTCTACGAGGGGGTCAATGGTGGGGCTAAGCCAAACCGGGGCATGTGCGAGGAAAGAAACAATCTGGTTGAGCTGAACCCAGCAGGTGATATCTACGACGACGAAACAGCCATTGATTTCAGCCCGTATGTGGTGGAGCCGGTGACAGGCTCTCAGCTGGAGCTCTACAGTGACGACTTGTTAGCAGACCTGTTCGCCAGCACCAACAAACCGGACAAATCTCAGCCCGACTATGGCTTTCTGCCTCCTGCAGCCAGTCAGATGATGAGCTCTGTCTCTGGTGTACCTGCCTCATCGGGTAACCATTCGGACAGGGACCTTTTCACTGCTCAGCTACGGGGCAGCTACAATCAACGCCCGGACTTATCTAAAGTGGTGGTTAAAGAAGAGAGGGACGAAAATATGGAAACTTCGCTACACACACAGATTGCAGCCTGCGCACAGACTACGGTACATTTGCCCACGGGCCAGCCTACCCCTCCCACTAGCCCGGAGCCCAGCTCTGCAAATTCCCACGGTAGATCGGCACCTGGCAAGGAAAAAGCCAAGAAACCAGTGGACCGACAGAGCTCCGAGTACCGACAGAGGAGAGAGAGGAATAACATCGCCGTGAGAAAAAGCAGAGATAAAGCCAAGCAGCGTAACATAGAGATGCAGCAGAAAGTCATAGAACTCAATGCCGAAAACGATCGTTTGCATAAAAAAATAGAACAGTTGTCAAGCGAACTTGCGATTATGAGGAACTTTTTTGAGCAACAGCCGAATGCTGCATCGTTCCTCAGTGCAAATGCAGATTGTCGGTGACTGTTGAATAAAACTTAAGTAACATCCAGTAGACCTGATACCTCACCAAAGAATCAATAATTTTGTAGCAAATACTGTGAACTTAGAAATGCGTAGATTTTTCTGGCCTTGGGAGTTCGAAATTCCTGAAACTTGTTGCAAACTGCCTTAAAAACTTTGCCATAGCAACAAAGGCTGACAGTTCGTTTAAATTATTTTTTTAATTCTAATTTTCTATACTCCTAAATGCATTAATGCAGCTAAGGTACATTTATATGCCACAATTATGAACTTTATATTTTTCATTTTAGTCAATGGTTGATAGAGCATGGTTGACGTCTTTTATATTGACTGTATTTCGTTTTATGAAAAGAATCATTAAATACATCAATTTCTATTTGTCTGGTGTATTTGTTCAATACCTGTGTTCTGCAGGGTTGGGCACAACCAAACAAAAGGTGAATGGAAAATTTTCAGCTGGCAGGATACCGTGTACTTTGCTGAGTCATACTGGGAGTAAGAATGCATGTGAACACGTAATACTCGCTTGGCCCAAGGTTTTTAATAAATTCAATCACTGAATACTTGACATACCTGATAAGTAAAAGCATCCAACAGTAGATAGAAGGAATTTTTAAAGGACGATTCACCTTCCAAGTAGTGTTAGTTCTTAAGTGAATTTTCAGTTAACTATCAATTAAACTAACAGTATGCTGTATCAGATTCCATAGTCACTAAATATTGCCTGGCAAACAAGCTGTAATTTACTGTGATCCTAGCTTGAGGTGGTGCAAACTATTGATTGGCCAACAGCAATATGTCATTTTAAGATACTGCGATTGTAAACTATCCTAGTTTTTTTTTAAAGGTGGTTACTACTTCTGTGCAAATTGGTTGACAAATATGTAAGATAAAGTGACAGAAATAGAATTTTATCTGGAATTTGCAAGTACTTTTCATCCTCTACCATGCTTTAAAATGTCAACTTCTACCTTTCAAAAGAAACATATGCAAGTTTTTTTATTTCCTTTTCAGTGCAACTATTATTGCATTTTCTTGGACACTAGAAACTAAAATAACATTTCAAACTAATATGATATCACTTGGAGCCAAACAAAAAATCCATCTCTGCTAGATTTAAATCCAGGTCAAAAAGAGAAAGTAGTACAATCTATGGTGCCAACTAGTAGCCTACGATCATTTCCAACACAGTATCTGGGAAACCAACCAAATGGCCTGCCATGATTTTGTCTACAAGAAATTACATTTAGGAAATAAATATTAAACAAAACCAAAACTGCTGAATAAACTCGATAGGTTTGGCAACATCTGTGGGGAGAAAGTAGAGTTAACGTGGGGAGTCCAGTGACTGCCAAGTCTAACGAAGAGTTGCTGGACTCCACTTTCTCCCCACAGATGTTGCTACACCTGAGTTTTGCCAGCATTTTGTTTCATATCTACAGTATTCAGTTTTTAAAATTGAATCTATCTTCAGATATTTGTATCTTTGTTAATTGCAGCCACTGCTAAAACTTTCATTCATGCATCAAGTTATATCCAGACTTGGCAATTCTAATGTGTAGGTCAGTTAGCTAGACAATACTTTGCAATGCAGAGTGATGCCAACAGCATAGGTTCAATTCCCATACTGGCTTAGGTTATCATGAAGGACTCTCCTTCTCAGCCCTGCCCTTCACATGAAGACTGGTGACCTCAGATTAACCTAACACCAGTCATCTCTCTCTAACTGGAGAATGGGACGATGGCAAGTTTTCTTCTTGAATCTAACATCGTCCTGGCTGGTATCCAATTTTACATCATCCATAAACTTCAAGTAACCTGGAATTCTGCTGCTCATAAAATCCTGTGTACCCATCTGTGCCCACTCAGCTATATAAGCTCCCAATTTACCAACTATTGTATGATCATCTGTCTGGGTCTCCATGTTGAAATCTTCCACCTGTTCTGCTGCCTTAAGAGTTTGCATGGTGGTGTGGGGTCAGAAACTCAAGGTACAAAGATCTTGAGATGTATGCTGCATCACCTCCAGCTATCTCAATTTTGTCTTTCCACTGGACTCTCATGTCTAAATGAGAGAAATATTAAAGGTAGGAGTAGGCCATTCTACTCCTCAGGCTTGCTCTGCCATTCAATATGATCAAGGCCGATCATGGAGTTCAATACCCTAATCCCTATCTTCCATCCTATCACTTGATCCCCTTAGCCATTAGAGGTATATCTACTTTCTTCTTGAAAACACAATGCATTGGCCTCAACCAATTCCTGTGGCAATAAAAGCCACAGGCTCACCATTCTCTGGGTGAAGAAATTTCTCCTTATCCTTAACCTATGACCCATTGTTCTGGACTCCCCTACCACTGGGAACATCCAACATCTAATCCATCTAATTCTGTTAGAAGTTTAGAGGCTTCTATAAAATCCCTGCCCATTCTTCTAGACTCCAGTGAACACAATCTTAACTGACTCAATCTCTCTTCATACATCAGTCCTGCCATCACAGGAATCAATTTGGTAAACCTTCGCTTCACTCTCTCTATAGCAAGAACATCTTTCCTCAGATAAGCAGATCAAAATCACACACAATATTCCAGGTGTGGCTTCATCGATGCCCTGCATTATTCCAGCAAAATATTCGTGTTCCTGTACTCAAAAGTTTTGCTACAAAGGCCAACATACAGTTTGCCTTCTTCATTGTTTGCTGCAACTACATGCAACTGGTGCATGAGGACACCCAGATCTCATTGAATATACCCCTCTCTTAATTTACAGCCATTCAATAATCGGCCCTCCTATTTTTGTTACCAAAGAGGATAAACTCACATCTACCATACTTTTACACTCAACGTGTCAAAATCACTGCAACATCTCTGCATCCTCCTCACAGCTCACCCTTCTACCCAGCTTTGTATCATCTGCAAATTTTGAGATATTACATTTAGTTCCCTCGTCTAAATCATCAACATCTATTGTGAATAGCTGGGGTCCCAATACTAATCCCTGCAGTATTCCACTAGCCACTACCTTCCATTCAGTAAAGGATCCATTTATTCCTACTCTTTGTTTCCTGCCTGCTAATCAATTTTTATCCATCTCAATACACTGCCCACAATCCCATGCACTTTAATTTTGCACATTAATCTCTTATGTGGGACTTGAGAGAGTAACATTGATGGAACAATTCAATCTACACATGTAAACCAGAACATCAATTTTAGAATGCTAATCCTCAAAGTGAAATTCCTCCACGATCTCTTACTTTCCCATATCTGTAACCACAGCCATGCAACCCTTCAAGAACATTGCGTTCCTCAAATTCTGGCCATTATACCACTATTGAGAGATAGTAAGAACTGCCGATGCTGGAGTCTGAGATAACACAGTGTGGAGCTGGAGGAACACGGCAGGCCAGGCAGCTTTCCTGCTCCTCTGATGCTGCCTGGCCTGCTGTGTTCCTCCAGCTCCACACTGTTATGCCACTATTGGCAGTCATGCCAAAAAGTGTCTAGGCCCAAAGCTAGGATTCCTTCCCACTTCTTTCCTTCTTTAAGTCACTGCTTAAAACCTACTCCTCTTACCAAGTGTTTTGAATAACTGTTCTAATGTCTTTTTTGCTCAGTGTAAATTTTTGTTTGGTTGTGGTTCGGTGACATGCCCGGGACATTACACTAAAGTGCCTACACTAAAGGCACTGTATAGTTGTAATTTGTTGGATTACTCTAAACACTGTGAAAGAATTTTGGAAATACAACTGACAAAGAAGCCAGAACAGTCCTGTTATTTCCAAGATAAGCAAAAAGAATCTAAATAAGTAGTTCAATGCATCAGTGTGTAATTCATGAACCACAGTTACAGGGTATGGATTCTGCTCACACAATGAGCATCAGAGACTGTCTTGAGAGATAAAGGCTTTTAAAAAAAAACAAACAATCAAATCAATATCTGATGCCTTCATTTGTCATGTCATGCAACAGCAGAGCAGGGTCTTAGTTGGGAAAATGGTACAACGAGGATCTAAAGAGACCTGGGAAACAATTTACAGAATGGAAAAGATTGGTAACGGATCTTCTCATTCAACATATGGAAATAAACATTTGATTTCATGTAAGTTAGCCAGAAGAAAAAAAAATTACAATTTTGAATTAAGTTTGAATAACAGTTATTTTTTTTTATTCTGCAAATAATTAAATATAAATTTTAAAGGAATTTTACACACAAGCCATCCAAAATAATTTTAATTACAATGCAGCATTTATAAATATTTAATGAAATAGATATTTCGCATCATAAACTTTAAAATATGCAGTTGTAACCATCAATGCTACAAGTGATGATTGAGAATTTCACTTTTGCTGAGGGTGTAGCAGACTAACTTCCTCTAGTCCAATCCAGCTTGCTGGCTGATTTGTTACAGAGCGGACGTAGCAGCTGAGAGGTCCCAACTCCTGGCCAAGTACACCGTCCACCTCATAGCCCTGTCATGAGAGATGTAATAAACCAGGCATTATAAAGAACACAGCAGGCCAAGCAGCATCAGAGGAGCAGGACAGCTGATGTTGGGGTCTAGACCCTTCTTCAGAAAAGAAGGGTCTAGATCCGAAACGTCAACTTTCCTGCTCCTCTGATGCTGCTTGGCCTGCTGTGTTCATCCAGCTCTACACAGCATCGGCAGTTCCTACTATCATTATAAAGAACATTTTGTTTTGAAAGGTTATGAGGAGAATGTAAGTTATTAGAGTTCACATTTAACATTTCATACAATATGTGTGTGGCCATGTGAATATTTCACAGTACCATACTTTAAAACAATATTTTACATGATAGAATTATTGCATATTCATGTGCAGCACAGTACAAATACATAAAGCATTACAGGATTATTTCAATGTTATTTGGCTACCATATTAGACATTCCTTAATTAAAGCTTTATAGGAACATATTTTGATTGTCAGAACTATGAAGGGAATGTACTTTTAGACCTCATGATAGAGCTGGATAGGACATTATGCACTGGCTCAGTAGTGATTCACTTTTGATGAAAGATACCGCTTAAAAGCGCAAAGTAAATTTTCAGTGATATATTTTAATATTGGCTTTAACAAGTTTGTACACTGAAGATAAAAAATATACTTAAAAATATTAAAAAAATAGAAGAGTATTGTAAAAGAAATAGTATTCAGTTAGAAAATTAGATACTTAAACTAATTCAGACCAATTTTCAAAAAAGTCGTTTTAGTTATGGCCATAACAGTGGATGATTTAATTACCATAAATTGCAGGTATAAGTTGACATAGCATACAAGACAACCTCATATTTCTGGCTCCAATGATCAATCCTGGTCCATCCATGTGAACGTTACAGTCAAGATAGCACATCAACGTCTCTATTTCCTCAGAAGGTTAAGGAAATTGAGCACGTCCACAACGTCACTCACCAATTCTTATAGATGCACCATACAAAGCATCCTATCTAGATGCATTACAGCTTGGAATGGCAACTGCTCCGCCCAAGATCGCAAGTAATCACAGAAATTTGTGAATGCAGCCCAGTCCATCATGAAAACCAGCCTTCCTTCATTGACTCTGTCTACACTTCCAACTGTTTTGGGAAAGTAGCCAACGTCATCAAAGACCCCTACTGCCCCAGTTATACACTGTTCCACCCTCTTCCATCAGGCAGAAGATACAGAGTTTAAAAATACATACTGACAGATTTAAGAACAGCTTCTTCCCCGCTGTAATCAAACTTGTGAATGGATCTCTCATATATTAGAGTTGATCTTTCTCTGCACCTTCTCTATAGCTTTAACACTATATTCTACATCTGTGCTATTACTCTCATGTACTTATGTAAGAGACAATTTGTCTGGTTAGCACACAGTACAATACTTTTCACTCTATCTCAGTACATGTGACAGTGATAAATCAAATCAAATGTCATGGATTTGAATATAATCGGTATATTGATTGGCCTCCTTTTCAGCCCGGCATGCTTGCACAAATGGTCTCAATTTGTCACTCCATAAGCGCATTTTATTTTTCAGTACCTCATAACTGGGTATGAAGGATCAAGCAGGCAACATCAGTGGTGTTGCTAAGATGCATGTGAGTTTAAGATGCATCATTACAACACTGTCTATATAAATTGCCTATTCTTTGCATTATTACATATTAGTGACATTTTAAAATGACAACCACCCATATCCATGCCAAGTTTTGTATTCGACATGCAAGTGACTTCACACTTTTGGAGGGATTTTCTTGGGGCTTCAAAGGTTGACACATTAATCAACATTAACGGTATTATTTGCTGTATGTTGCAACCTTGCACTGATTTTATTGCAACAACAACTTAAATAATGTCTTTCATATAATGAGACCAAAGTGCTGCTTCACAGGAGAATTATGAAACAAAGTACGACATAACTCACAAAGGTAAATATTAGAGCAGATGTCCAAAGGGTTGGTGAAAGTACTAAGCTTTTAAAAAAATGCCTTAGGAAGAGAGTTAAATAAAGAGGTGGAGGGAATTCCAGAGTTTAAGACCTAGACAACTGGTAATAGCAGAGCATTATAATTTGGAATGCACAAAATGCCTGTATGAGAGGAGCACAGATATCTCAGAGATAAGAAGAGGCCATGTGGGATTTGAAGCATGAGAATTTTTATATCAAGATGCTGCTCAAATAGGAGCCCAATATAGGTGAGTGAGAAGAGGAGTAATAGGGAATGCAACTTTCTGCCACAGAGTTTTGAATTACCTCAAGATTATGGATTGTAAACCTAAGATATTAGCTAGAGATGCATACAGATAGTTGAGTCTCGAGATAATGAAGGACTGGGTGAATGTTTCGACATTAGATCAGCTGAGACAGATGTCCAAGTTAAGCAATGTTTCAGGTTGGCAGCTTGTGACCCTGGGGTCCCACAGGGGACTGCGATGGGCCTTCAACATTTTTCAATCTATATCAATGACTTTAATGAGAGGATCAAAGACACCGTGGCTACATTTGTAGATTACACAAAGATATGTAGCAAAATATGCTGTGAAGCTACCATTAACAAGGATGTGGACTGATAAAGAAAGGTTAAAATGAATGGGCAAAAAATCTGGCAGATGAATATTATGTTGGAAAATGTGAAGCTGTTCACCTTGGCAGGAAGAATAGTAAAGCAGTATCTTACTTAAATATGACTGACTGCAGAAATCTGAGATGCAGAGGGATCTAGGTATTCTACAGCTTGAGTCACAAAATGTTGCTATACAAGTGATAAAGAAGGCTACTGAAATGCTACCCTTTACTACAAGACAAATTGAACAATAAAATCAAGGATGCTACGCTTCAGTTACTCAGGTAATTGGTGAGACCACATCACAAATATTGTGTGCAGTTTTGGTTTCCTTACTTAAGGAATAATATTAATGACTTGGAGGTGGTTCAGTGGTTCACTTGATACCTGGAATAATCAGGTTGTCTCAAGGGAATATTGGACATGCTGGGCTTGTTCTTCTCTATAGTTTAGAAGAGCGAGGTGTGATTTGATTGAAGTTTAAACAATCCTGAATGGTCTTGAAATAGTGGACATGGAAAGGATATTTACGCTTGTGAGACAGTCAAATTCCTAGAATTCCCTCCCTAACAGCATTGTGAGTCTATCTACAGCACATGGACTGCAGCATTTCAAGAAGGCAGCTCACCACCACCACCTTCTCAAGGTCAACAAGGAATCTGCAATAAATGCTGGTCAACCAGTGACCCCCACATCCTATGAGTGAATACTTTTTTTAATAAGTCACTGTTGTGTTGGAAGAAATGCAGCAGCCAAAATGCACACATCAAATTCCCATAAACAGCAATATGACAAGGACAGAATATCTGTTTTTTGTGATGTTGATTGAGGGATGAACATTGTTAGGACATCAGTGATAGCTGCCCGAAGCTTCTCAAAATGGCCATGTCTAATGACATCACTTGAATGTGTACTATGCAGATGTTGCAGCAGTTCTGGAAGTGGATGCATGTACATTTCAGGACTGTTGAGTGTGCACAGTTGGAAGCGATGCCAGGTGGCAGCAGTTACTGGCTTTCATAATAGTTCCATGGAAACGTTTACATCCATCCAAGCAGACAGATGGGGTCCTGGGTTTAATGTCTCATTTAAAAAACAGCACTTCCCTATAGTACAGTGTTCCATTAGCTCTCAAACATCAGCTTAGATTTTTACGCTCAAGCTTCAGAAATGAACCCGGAACCTGTTGATTCAGAGGGCAGAGTGCTACTCCCCAGTGATTTATTAAAAGTGATTTCCATGGCAGAAGGGTTCAGTAATAAGATTTTGTACGCTTACAGGTATTTAGACTGAAATGGGAAGCTTCAAATTTTGCTAATTTCAATCCACGTGCGAACTAACTATAGAAAACATCATGCCATTTAGTAAATATAAACAGTGAATCAGACAGTAAGATATCATTTTCAGGAAGCCTTTGAAGGTGTATTTCACAACAGATCAGAATGTCCAAATTGCAGTGTTTAGCAGAATATGAATGGTTGGCAGAATTGCTGTCCAATTGCATTAAAATAAAAAAGAGATCATCAACTTCATTATTTTCACAAAATATGGTTCATAATGTTTTGACAGGTGACTAATTAGTGGAACGGCCCTAACATTATCATGCAAGTATCCTGAACGTGCAAATAATTTGACACTTTATATGTTCACTTTATACTGGAGATGTGTGTACAAATAATTGTGTTAATTGTTGTTATTATTGATGCAGTAATAAGTTTAAAAAGTTTATTCTGATTTTATGTTGTGGTTTGGCTTAGGCTCACTGAAAGATATGCATTATTATTATTAATTACTTGTCAAACATTTCTCATTGTGATATTATCTTAGGGCCACATCAGGTATTAATCATTCTGTAAATTTTGTGAAACAGTTTGGCTGTACTTAATATAATTTATCTCCTCTTCTTATTGTTTTGGTTTTAAAAATATTTTTCTGTCTGACTCTTGCAGTATTTTCACTGTTTACTGTGACAGCTATTGTCTTTCCTGATTTTCTGAATCCAGATCAACCATAATTTACATAAGTGTGCTGGAAGATTGGCAAAAGTTGTTACCACAAGAATAGGTAGTAAGAAAAGTTATGAGCAATGTAATAAAGTAAAAAAAATGACATGGAAATTAACACCGTTAAGATTTTCATTTAGCACCTTTTAAGCAATACCCTTTACGTCTAAGTTAATTATTCAAAATTTAATAAAACACAATTCCACAAGTGTCTTTGAAATATACACATTGCAATCCACTAACACCTCAGTTTCTGATCACAAGTGCATTCAGCCTTGCATAGTCCTTGCAAAGAAATCTAAGAATTCAAAATTTTCCGACTATATGACTTAATGTTATAGAATAAATTCCTCCAGAAAACCTAGCAAAGGTTTTTTGTCGGATTAATTTTTAAAAGTTC